ATTAAAACAAACAAAGTCCCTGGCTTGAGTACGCAAGCGAACTATACCGACCAAGCGACAGCCGCTTGTCGGCGAATTTAGTGCCAATTTTAGCGGGTATGGAGTGTCACGTGGTCAGGGTAACGAATTCTCACGACCGTTAATCTCGTTTTTCTAGACCGGAGCCGCTATTTCCTTGAAATAGCTCCTCAGTTATCCTCACGAGGCTGAGTGGACCCCGTTCCAGACCCACTACTTCTCAGAAAATCTGGTAACGCCGGGAATCGAACTCGGACCTCTGGATCTGTAGGCGATTACGGAACTCAATAAGAGGCCTGGACCCTGAATTGGTTGGAATAGACATTGAAGGAAAGCAGAGCATATCTAGGTACCAAACGTAAGAAATTCATTGCTAAAACCTTTCAGCCTAAAATCAAATACCAAAACCGTATTCTTACGAGTTCGCATATTTAAATGCATAGACGTTCCTTGTAGGACGTTTTTGGTTTTACGAACGCGAGTAGGAAGTTTATTTTACCCAACCAGACCAGTCAATACTGTCGAAGCCAGGAGATGGCTTTCTAAGAATCTCTCTCAACAATGTAATTTGGGTTTTGCTGCCAGCTCGAGCAGCATTGCAGATTCTCACGTGCATGTCCTTCTACTTGAATATGAGGTGCTCTCGACCCGCCGGCCCACAAGGATAGAACTATTCTCAGTTCTTGTGTAGGAGGCAGGGACACTCCTGGCCTCGCATATAAATTTCCTTCTCAGCTAGAACAACAGCCTCCAGCGACAAAGTTCATTTCACCTTCGTGATGGCCAGGGTGAAGCGGTGTAAAATTCCAGATCGGATCTTTATAAAGAACATCTTGACCGTTGCATTCTACTAATGTGCAGGGTAAAAGGTAAAGTTTCCCCGGTGCTTAATTAATTAAGCATCTCACCATGACGACGTATCGCGAAGTGGAGGTACAGCTCCACCATTTTTAATCTTGGCACTGGATAAAAGTGGTTACCCTCAAACTACGGCCACTTTAGCCTCAGGAAAGACTACCCCCCATTCAGTATTCGTTGAATACCAATTTGAGTGGGGCCCAGTGGCGGTGTGGACGCTGTGGAGAAAAAATCTCTTGCCTCGAACCCGGGCCTTTCAGCCCGTAGTTCGTCGTTATACCGACTGAGCTATCCCAATCCTTTAATAAATATATATAATCTTTTGTGTCTTTCACTTTTCGAGAGGCAAACAAACATAATGAAGGTAGCAATTTATATAAGTTGTAAATATATTATTGTTAGGACTAGTGGCGAGCGTTGATATTAAAATTAAGTAGTTAGAACCAATTAAAATAAATTTAAATAATCATGTTGTCTTGTTAAAAGAAGTCTGTAGTGACGGTGTTCTTAATGGCTACTACAGTTCTCATCTTTGTAAAGTATTCCTAATGTAATATCAATTTGCAACTTAAAGAAGACCATTCACTAACTCATGGAGTCGAGCTCTTATGGGGAAGCCACCAATTAAGCAGCTACTCAAAAACTTTCCAGCATTTTATGGAACTCGAAAATTCATTTCCGCATTTATAAGAGCCCTCCACTGGTCCCCATCCTAAGCCAGATGGATCCAGTCCATACCATCTTATTCTATCTCTCTAAGATCCATTTTAATATTGTTCACCCACCTACGACTTGGTCTTCCTAATGGTCTGTTTTCTTCCGGCTTTCCCACCAATATCCTTGGTGCATTCCTCTTCATCACATTCGTGCTACATGAGCTGTCGCTGATCTACACACTTTACAGTTCACCGTTATACACGCATAGTCGTATCCTGGCAACGGATTTATAACAATCTCACTGTCACTTCAAATAACAAATGGAATCTTCTTGTCACAGCCTAATTCCTTTCTTGCCATTATTCTGCAGCTGCCAATTCCGAAGACTCGACTCAGTTCCATTTCTCATCTCCCAACCTCATATTCGGCAGCCTGGCTTCTCAGAGCTCGACTAACTCAAACGATCTTCTTTGTCCTTTTTAATCCCTCGGCACGGACCACGAAGAAATCACAGCTTCTCTATTGCTGAAAAGCCGTGTCTACGCCACAGTTGAAGAGCAGCTGAAATTATTCAACTGTTGCTTGCGTATTCGTTGCCGAGGGAATGTGTTCATAGAGCAGTTGTCTAACTATGGAGGCCTCCTCTGATTTCACTATTCCGGCTTTCAGACGTCATGTCACAATATTTTGCGTGATTTATTTCTGACAGTAGGAACATCGCCTGTTCTGGCTGAGATCTTTCAAGGCTTTCCTTAGTTCCTCCAGGAAAATTGAGACGTTACCCCCATAAAGCTACGAATGCTTCCATTTAAATCCTCTCCAATTCCTTCTCAATTAACATCCTATCACTCAAAGGTATACAGTTCGAGACTCGAACAGCGGCGGTAAACAAACCTTGGAAAATATCTTAAAGTAAATGGAATTTAAAGACCGAAATGTCTTTGATCCAAATGGGGCAATGTTAAACTTCATTCTTTTATACTCGTACTTTTCGCATCAGGAGAAACATTTCGAAATTTTTGTTGCTTATTGTTCTGAATCGTAATATTTACGGGTGTTCTCGAATTAAAATATATGTCTCGGTAACATCCAAATATACATGTATATATATATATATATGTGCGTGTGTGTGTGTGTGTGTGTGTGTGTGTGTGTGTGTGTGTGTGTGTGTGTGTGTGTGTGTGTAAATTTCAATTATGTCCTCAAAATTAAAAACTGCTGATATGTTCTTGGTTAATTCATTTATTTGTAAGATATGAGGTTTTCACGGTGCCACATCCCAGAAGACTGTTTTCTTAATTTATTTGTCTTTTGTTCTTCTGCTCCTTTCCACAGTCCTCACTGAAGGCAGTGCGGTCGCCTCCATAGTTTATGCATCTAGCTTCCTTGCTACATTTTTGCCTTTTCCTGCAGTACGGTCGCCTCCACAGTTTATGCATCTAGCTTCCTTGCTACATTTTTGCCTTTTCCTGCAGTACGGTTGTCTCCACAGTTTATGCATCTAGCTCCCTTGCTACATTTTTGCCCTTTCCTGCAGTACGGTCGTCTCCACAGTTTATGCATCTAGCTTCCTTGCTACATTTTTGCCTTTTCCTGCAGTACGGTCGCCTCCACAGTTTATGCATCTAGCTTCCTTGCTACATTTTTGCCTTTTCCTGCAGTACGGTCGCCTCCACAGTTTATGCATCTAGCTCCCTTGCTACATTTTTGCCTTTTCCTGCAGTACGGTCGTTTCCACACGTGAGGCGTCTCTCTCCTACTGCATCTGGTACTAGGTGACCATATCGCGCACGCTTATAGCACAGTTTTATCGCTGGAATAAATGGGTTATCTTTAGAATTGCGTTCCAGGTTACTAATTCATTAGGGAGAGACTGAAGTCCAGGCATACCGATACCGAGGCTTTTACCTTCGCCTCGCTTTCGCTGTTTCTCTCTGCCTTTGTGCCTCATGCTGGTATGTTCTTCTGTAGTTTCTGCAGGCTCTTTGCCCCGGCGAAGTGGAGGAATGGATTCTCGGTTCAGATCCTCTCTAGAAGCTCCTCAGTGTTGATATCCAGCGGAATACCTCAGATGATTCCCTTTTTAACTACCACTCTGGCCCCAGTGAACGCTTCTAACTTGTTTCCCTTAATCCCTACACAATCTACCAGACTGCTTGTCATATTGCGCTAGTTGAATGGCTACTGTCCAGAGTCGTCTGGAGTCATGGAAAATTCTGCAGTAGTGAATATTAACATATTTTTTTTTCCTGCTTGACTTTCCTGTACTTCGCTTTCAGCTGTTATCAAGCATTATAGTATATAAAATGAATTAATATAAAAGGCCACAACTGCGAAAATAAACACTATATAACACTTTATTTCCATTACTATTATCACTTCTGCCTGCAGAATGCAAATCCTATCACCAGGAAAACTAATTTTAAGAACTGATTCTGCTATGGAGCTTGGCTGACATGTAAGAAAATTGTATGCAGTTAGGAGGAGGTGGATCAACATAACCACTGCTGTTGTTGAAGCATTTGCAGCGGTAACTGTAGTATTACCAATAGCAGTAGCACGTGCTAAAATAAATGGGATATATAACACGCTAAAATGCTAAGAAATACCTTCCTACGCAACTAAATTATGTCATAAACATTATTATGCAGAATGTAGTGACAGTTTGTCTTCAAAATGAAATACTCTACCATTCCTGAAAACATTTAGGTTCAAAGTTACGTATGAACATCAGAAACGTTAAGCCAATCTAATATGCTCAATATAATAATTTTGAAGCTAGTTGAAAATAAAAACTATAAATAAAAAAAAATCCCTGCAAACAAATTAAATAAGGACAGAAAATTTCGCTGTATAATTGCATACGATATTTGGATTAAAGTAACTTTTAATAATTTAATTGGTTGTGTAATATAGCTTAGATGATGTTCCCTTCAACAGGGGTATAGTAACAAAAGAAAACAGATTTTAAATCAATTCTGATATTCGTATGCTGATTCCAAGAAATTTCCATCATGTAACAGCTCTGTTCTTTGAACTCTGAACCAAAACAGCACATTTTTAATTCTGTATTTCCTCTCAGTGTTCTTGTTAAATTTTACCAACAGCAGATTTAGAATCCGATAATTTATTATCGAATAAAAATTTATTATCTTGAAATAAATACATCATTTTAAGTTACGTATAAAGTGATATATATTTTCATGTGTGTTTACATAAAATAAATAGAGAATACCAAAAGCATTATGCCAGTTTTACTATAGGCTTACCCGGATTAGTCAAAACAACTTATATCCTACATGCTAACGAAACAGGAGAAAATTTGTTGTGCTGGGTTATCATCCGCATATTCATACATCTTGTCATTTTGCGAGGTCTTCACTCATTTTCTTCGTAATTTCCGCAAAATAAACAGCGACTTGAATGTAAAAGAGAAGGTAACCAAATGTAATTATTTCTCCTTCCAGACGTGATTTCATGCAACGGAAACATGATGTACATCCGAGCCCAACAGAACATAACCAAGATGCTGCTCCTCGTATCCTCAGTGTTCATACTGCTGAACCTACCAAGGTGAGGTTTTACACATCGCCGTGCATGGCTGGCAACTTCTTTGACAGAAGTGTAATGCGGAACAGTATAAGTGAAGTGGTCAATCTTATGCGACATTACGCTATGCAGTCCGTCGCAGTGACCCGAAACATTTGTGCTTTTCAAATTGTGGTCTTGGTTGTGACATCACATAATCATGTAGGAGAATATCAGCGTTTCGGAGGAACATGCTGTTTCTGCATTCAGAGTGGAGGTATGTAGGGTGAGAAGCCGTTTGGATTACATAAGTAGGTTGTGAATATCACCATTCAGAAACATGAGAGTGGGAAGGGAGATACAATCTACAACAGGAAAACAGAAACTGTTAACAAGAAAATTACCCTTTCCAGGGCCTTCATAGTCTTCCCCAAAACTGCGAAAAAGTGCGACATTTTGGGACCATTGCGGAAGGGAAGTATAAGGCGACAAGAACAGCCATTTTTTTCGAGAGGGTGGGTAGAAAAGTGTCCTTTCAGGATGGTGTAGCTATCTTGACCTAGGACAAATGTTTTTCCTCCTTTCCTTTGGGGAGTTGATAGGAGGCTTTCACGGCTCACTCAAGGAGAACCTAGTGGATTCCTCACCTTATAAACTTCGACTATGAAGACAGAAACAACTTGCTTCCTCGAAGATCGGTAAGCTCGTACAAGCCAGAAGCCCATAACATGAGCAACTATCACAATGTAAATGTAAACATTAATATAATATATGAGGTTCTCAGAGCGATGATTATGACTTGAATAATTTTACCGAGTAGGGACACGCATCAAGCAGTGACTGTTTGATTGTTTGCTTCTTCAGCTTACTCTTCAATCCTGAAGATGGAGGTAGTATGTTCCTCAAAACATCGTCAAAATTACACTAGGTTGCACTGTATAATATCACAAAAGACATTTAAATTTAGTTCTTCGGTGAAACTGACAATCATAAATGAGTGATGCAACCCGGTTCTTGAGAACTGAATTTGCCTCTCCCTGGACTATAGACATCGGGAAAAATAAAATGCAAAAACGTCATTATATGTATAAGCTGAATAAGACTAGTGTACTACAGAAGCATCCTACACGCCGTACTACTGCTTCTGGTCGTAAGACCCGATCCTGTTGTGTGGGAAAAGAAAAACGGACGAGTACAGTAATCTTGCTCCAAGACTTCAGATAGAAGGATTATGAGTATGTGTGCCGGCGGTACATTCGGTACCATACCTAAACGATCCCTGCCGCAATATCGCCCAACGATCCACCCCGTTCATGCTCTTTCATGCTCCTTCAGATGCTTCTGCTAACAGGCAATTTTCCTTCTGGAGAACACTGCGTCACTCGCTATTCCTGTAACCCAAACCCTTCTAAACAAGAACTCTGGAAGTGAGAACACGGAATATCACTCTCAGAAGCCCTTGAGAATGTATTACTAGAAAGATAAATGTACAAATAGAAAGAATGTTTGTTTGAGAAACCAGACCTGAATTGCAAAGTGAGATCTTTGTGGCAAAATTTAAAATAAAATCTGGCACAAAGATAGAAAATTCACATAGCCGACATACGAGTACATAGCCTTCAGTCTAGTTATATATCCTAATTACAAGCTCGTAAATACTAGCGAAAAAACAAACAGAAATATGCTACATCTGAGGTATCACGGCGGCGACATGATCTCTGGATTTTAACATCTTGTAGTTGGGTAGATCCCACAGTCGTTTCGGAAAAACATATCGCCTCCATCTTCCGTATATTTTCTTGTCGCCTTCTTATTTCTTGTTTGGTTTATTGTTCGGCCATGAATATGAAGACAATAAATTCTTCGGAAATTTCGGTAGATTTCTGCCGAACTATACGACGTTAGAAGTCAGAAAATTGTACTCGTCATAGTTGCCAGTGTTTGCTGAAGCGGCGAACAAAGACAATACGAAATTAATTGCATCTGAAAATAGTTCGGTGCGTATAATTAGTAAAACATCATATTTCTGCTACACGGAAAACAATAATAAATACGCCAGTTTATATGAAAAAAAACTAGCATATATGTGACAAAATTTAAAAATAAATATGAATTCACTAATAAAGTAAAAACTGAAGAAAAAAATCGATACCGCAGCTAACTAAATAACAACTTTGTCCTTTGAGCTATTACATTAAATCATGATTAATTATAAATTTGAGTTGGTCCATAGTTTAAAAATTTACAACTTACAGAACTCATGCTTGCCGATTATAGTAGCCGAGCGGTCTAAGGCATGCACTGTCTTCGCTTGCTCGGAAGCCGGGATCGTGGGTTCGAATCCCACTCAGGGCATGGATGTTAGTGTGCGTTTTTCTGTGTTTGTGTACAGGTAGAGGCCTTGTGACGAGCTGTTCACCCGCCCAAGGAGTCCTACCGTATGTATAAGATCTAGTAAACCGAAGTGAAACGGAGAGTTTCATGGAGGCAGGCCTAGGGCCAAATGAGGGCTGTAGCGCCAATGAGAAAAAAAAAATCTCATGCTTAGATTAAATTTAATTATCATGTATATGCAGAAAGCACATGAATGAACAACTGTGAATACGTTGCTGTTTAATTTTATTTCATTTCATGCCAATTTGTGATTCCATCTCCCAGAAGAATAAACACACTTCTGCAGTGCATATAACAAATCTCCGTGGAACAATATACACACCCATAAAAACTTCTTTGTAGCTAATTTGACGCTTCCAGGCCATGCATATGGAAATGATTACGTCCCTTGGAGAATTCTCTAGAGCAGGGGTTGGAAAAACAGGACGCAGATAATCAATCCGAATCACAGACATGTTCAAATACCATCAACACATTTATATTTTCTCAAGCACAGGAATTACATACTATTTGAAAGATAAAAATACAAAAAGTTTTGGCGTCCATATTACACATAGATCTTATTTGCGGTTTTCATTTACTACATTTATATCTAGAACCGGATATCAGAAAATCGAAAGTCACCTTCTATAGACTCCTTTCAACCCTTTCCTTGCTGGCTGCGTCACTCTTAACCACACGTGTAAGACGTGTCTGAGTACAGTGAGAACATCAATCAATAACGAACATTGCGCATCCGGGCTAATGACTCGGTCTAACAATTGGAGGATTTAATGTTCTCACGGCGGTAGTTATGAAGACTTCTATCTTCTGGGATATAATAGCGTGTATTCCATATAAATTCAACAGACGTTTCGGAGGAATATGTGACCTCCATCTTCAGGGCAGAAAAATAAGCCAAGCAACAAATCAGTATGAAGCAGATAGCAAGTGGAGCTCTACTCAGTACCTAATTCATGCTGGTCTCTTGAGTGTCTTATTCTTCGGCCCTGTTGACTTTCAATAGACTACATGGTGTTACAGTCCAGAAGACAGAACTCTTCAGGCCTAATATATATTGTAGCATGTAGACCCGCTGCTAAGTAATTACTCTCTAAACAACGGCCGTTGCTAGGTAATGGCAGCAACAGATGGACTAACTGGGAAGAGGTGTTGGGATAGGCGTTATTTGTGCCGTCTGTGTGGAGGTGTTATAAGCAGGACAAGCTTAGAATTTAGTTCGTTGTGAGACAGTCGCTGGCGAGTTAGGTTGTGAACAGGGAAGCTGAGGAAGCAATGGCTTTTGAAGCCGTTACCAGGCGACAACCGGTGAAGATACAGCAGACTCAGAAGACTCGGTGCACGCTGAAGTGGAGTGAAGTGGAGTGAAGTGGAGTGTGGAATATATACAGCGCTGTAATTATTTGTAGTTACGTTCTGCAAGGATCCAATAAATCCAATTACCAAACCAAACCCCGTATTTTTCAAAGCCTCTGGCCCTGGCCTCTTATTCAGTTCTGAAATCATCTTCACAGACGGTAGGACTCCAAACACATATACAGTCACTAAAATAACGTGACAATATCTTTGGCACATCTGCAAATTTTATTATGTGAGGATAACTGGTAGAAATTTAATACCGGGTGTCCGGATGAAAGGTATCCAAAATATAAAAAAAAAAGAATATATATCTCGGAAACTGTCATATACGTATCCGGTTTATGTCATCGGAAAGAAAAACTCTAAAAGTTTTTTTTTTCCCCCTTTCATGCCCGGCTTACGCTCAAGCGCCCCCACATTTCTGCCCCCATGTTAGGAATCACCTGGGCAGAGAGATGGCTATGAGATGGATCAGCAGAGATGAAGCAATTGCTTGGCCTCCTAGGTCGCCAGATTTAAACCCAGTGGATTTTATTTCTGGGGTTATGTGAAGAACATTGTCTACCAAGGTTAAGATCAATGAGCTTCAACAAATGAAATCCCGAATAAGGGACGCTGTGGTTACGGTAACACCAAACATGCTTCAAACCTGGATATTTGTCGTGCCACCAAGGGGGCCCACATTTAAATTTATTGAAAAAGTTATATACTCAGAAAAAACTCTGATAGTTTCCCTTTGTAATGGTGTCACAAATTAATGTGTAAAATAAATTCTTTCTGAGATATAATGATTTTATTTTGGGTAGCTTTCATCCGGCGACCCTTTACTTATATTAATTACAGAATGTTTCTGTTGGGGCTCGCCTGACCATGAAACAAAGAACATAAGCTGCATGTATCTAGAGGGGGACCGAATGCACGTCAGGTAACTTACGGCGGGACTCTTAGTAGCGAGGCGGATTAGCAGCAGTAGTATACAACTAACTCGCTCATTCTTCCATATCCGGATAAATATATTCCAGAAATTATTTGGCTTTTTATTCGGATCACCTCACATATTGGGGTCGACAGTTTCAGAGGTATACGCAGCACGATTAAAATTATTTTCAGCAGTTAAAGAAATTACATATGCATTCGTCTGTATCGGGCTGAAAACTGTTGCTTATAAGCCGAGTAGCGTTTAAATTTACGTGTAAAATGGCGATCGCAAAAAAAAAAATGGAAATTCTAATATTTCCTTTGGCTTCGGACAACATACATACATACATACATAGAATATTACCGGAGGGAGG